TTTTTTCTTTTTGCTTATGTGGTGCTGAGGAATCGAACCCAGGGCCTCATGCATGCGAGGCAAGCGCTCTACCACTGAGCCACCTTCCCAGCCCCTCTTTTTTTAATGTCCCACAAGTGTTTACAAGCAATGTGGCAGCTGCGTACTGTACACGAACAACTCATGTTAGATGTTTATGGCTATGCAAAAAATCAGGTCCAATTGCATGCATTTTTTTTTTTTTTTGGTCGGTCATGGGGCCTGAACTCTGGGCCTGGGTGCTGTCCCTCAGCTCTTCAGCTCAAGGCGAGCGCTCTACCACTTGAGCCACAGCACCACTTCTGTTTTTTTTTTTTTGCTTATGTGGTGCTAGAGGAATCGAACCCAGGGCCTCATGCATGCGAGGCAAGCGCTCTACCACCGAGCCGCCTTCCCAGCCCTCCAGGGCCTCATGCATGCGAGGCAAGCGCTCTGCCACCGAGCCACCTTCCCAGCCCTCGTGTACTATTTTATTTTATATAAAGAGTTTGAGCATCTGTAGGTCTGTTTGTTACACTGAACTTGGGGGCCTGAGGTCTTGCTTATCTTTTCTGCTCAGACCACTTAAGCCACAGTGCCACTTCTAGCTTTCTGTTGGTTAATTGGAGATGAGTCTTACAAACACTTGTGCCTATACTGGCTCTGATCCGTGAGCCTCTGATCTCAAACTCCTACGTAGCTAGGATTACAGGTGTGAGCCACCTGCTCTTGGAGCATTTGTAGGTCTTGATATCTCATAGTGGTCTTGGGACGGATTCTCGGATACGGAGGATCCCTGTAAAGCATTAGCTAGCACCTCGTTCACGTGATCCCGTTACTACCAGAACCGCTGTCTGTGTGTCTGGGTGGGTGGCATGAGAGGTGGCCTCTAAGTGTTTGTAACTGCCGTCGTGGCTGGTGTTACCTGCTTTGGGTCCTTCTGTTTTCTTTGAGACCTGTAAGACCCAAATACCTTTCTACTGAGAGCCAGCGCCTTGTTTCTTTGTATGAGGGAGTATGTAGTATCCTTGCTGTGGGTTCTGGTTGAGTTTGAGCTCTGTGGGAGGAGGACTCCGGGGACATGCTCAAGGACAGCTCTTCTGAGGCCTGTTGCTGGTTCTGCCAGGGACCTCTGACCATGGGGCAGCATACTAGCTTCACTCTGCCAGTTGTGTCCTGCTTAGACTATGTGTGATACAGAAGACACAAAGTTCCTTTGTGTGTTGGGGTCTAGGGTCTCTGTGCTTGCACTTGGCTTTTTCTCTCAAGGCCAGTGTTCTGCCATTTAAGCCACATCTCTATTTCTGGCCCCCCCTTTTTTTCCTGGTTAATTGGTGTCTCATGAACCAATTTCTGTATGGGTTGGCTTCAAACTCCTCAGCCTCCTGGATAGCTAGGATTGCAGCAGTGAGCTTATTAACAGCACCTGGCTTCAGCACTCGCCAGGTTGGCCTTGATATCATGACCCTTTTTTCTGTGTCTCCCTGGTATAACTTAGTGAATTGTGAAGTGTAAACTTTTACATAATTTTTTTTTCCTTTGGTCAGTCGTGAGGCCTGAACTCTGGGCCTGGGCGCTGTCCCTCAGCTCTTCAGCTCAAACCTAACGCTCTACCACTTGAGCCACAGCACCCCTTCTGGCTTTTTTCTTTTTGCTTATGTGGTGCTGAGGAATCGAACCCAGGGCCTCAGGCATGCAAGGCAAGCGCTCTACCACGGAGCCACCTTCCCAGCCCTTTTGCATAATCTCAATAGAAGTTAATACAAAGAGATTGACCTTGCATGTGGAAGGTGCGCCTTGCTTGTGGAAACTTAAGAATAGGACTTTGAGATCCTGTTGCGCTGAGGCTCCAGCCCTTAGAGGGCCTGGGGCTGCACTGCTGGCACCTGCTCTGTCGCTGTTGACTGACTGTGAACGTCCCCGAAGCGACTCAGGTTCTGGAGAGTTGACAACCTTCAAATCTAAATAATGTTCTTTTCTCTCTCTCAGGCACTACGTTGTCCGAGGCCCTGAGATGACTCCTTATGAAGGTGAGTAGAACAAAGTCTGAATTCTTGCTTATTAAACATCTCATGTGAAAATACGTTTATTTTGGATATGCAGTGGTTAAATTGAACTTATTTGGAACATATTTCTTCAAATTGTAGAACTATTTGAATAGTTTTGTTTTTGGTCAGTTGTGGGGCTTGAACTCTGGGCCTGGGCACTGTCCCTCAGCTCTTCAGCTCAAGACTAGCGCTCTGCCACTTGAGCCACAGCGCCACTTAGTTTTCTGGGTGGTTTATTGGAGATAAGAGTCTCACGGACTTTCCTTCCTGGGCTGGCTTTGAACTATGATCCTCAGATCTCAGCCTCCTGAGTAGCTATGAATAGTTTTGTTTTGATTAGTATGTTTAAAGTGTATGTGTGGGGGGGGTAGGCCTTGAGCTCAGGGCTTGGGCACTGTTCCTGAGCTTTTTTGCTCAAGGGTATTATATTACCACTTTGAGCCATAGCACCACTTTGGTTTTTTGGTGGTTAATTGGCAATAAGTCTTATGGACTTTCCTACACAGGCTGTCTTTGAACCATGATCCTCAGATCTCAGCCTCTGAGTAGCTAGGATGACAGGTGTGAGCCACTGGTGCCAGGCTGATATGCTTAAGTCTTTAGGGAGACTGTAAATATGTTTCACCAGCATTTATTATCAGCTAGAGCTGGGAAATGTAAGTTGGAATAAACAATACAGTGAAGCCTTATTCTTCCGTTTCTAAAACCAAGGAGAATATCATAAGAGGCCTCAGAATCGTCTCTGAGCTAAATGAATGCCCTTGTGTGGGTTGGGTACTGAGATTTAGAAAGGACACAGGACTTAGCTCTCCTAGTTGCTACCAGGGCTTTTTCCTGCCTGGTTTTCTCCTTTAACTTGCAGTAAGTTGTGTGTCACGTAGATCCCTCCTCTGCCTGGTGCTTGAAAGGGGTCAGTCTGGCCCATCTTCTTTAAAGCACAAGGCAGTGTTTGCCATTTTTCACCCCTACAGGCAAAATGCTGGTGTCAGGAATGTCTTGGTGCCCTGAAGGCGCACTGCCCAGTGCGGGTTTTTCTGGGTGCTTCGTGCACACAGTGGGGCGGGAGGTGGGGGTGCCTGCTCTTCCGTCACCTTCTGCTGACCTCAGCCATTTCCCTGCTGCTGCTGCTGGTGTGTGTGTGCGTGTGTGTGCGCACGCGTGTGTGCGTGTGTGCTAGGTGTAATGCCCCTTCCATCACACGCATGTGCGTGTGCCGTGTGCCTTCTATCATATGTATGTGTGTGTGCTAGGTTTAGTGCCTCCTGTCCCTCAGGGGTGCGTGCGTGCGTGCGTGCGTTAGGTGCTTAGTGCCTCCTGTCCATCAGGGGTGTGTGTGCGTGCATGCGTGTGCGCGTGTGCTAGGTGTAGTGCCTCCTGTCCATCAGGGGTGTGTGTGTGTGCGCGTGCGTGTGCATGCGTGTGCTAGGTGTAGTGCCTCCTGTCCATCAGGGGTGTGTGTGTGTGCGCGCGCGTGTGCATGCATGTGCTAGGTGTAGTGCCTCCTGTCCCTCAGGGGTGCGTGCGTGTGTGTGCGTGCATGTGCTAGGTGTACTGCCTCCTGTCCATCGGGCGTGCGTGCATGCGTGTGTGCGTGCGTGTGCTAGGTGTAGTGCCTCCTTCCCTCAGGGGTGTGTGTGTGTGCCTGCATGCATGTGTGCGTGCGTGTGTGCGTGTGCTAGGTGTAGTGTAGTAACACTTGTCTCACACTGCCCTTTACTGTTAACGTCACTTGGGGTGGGGTACAAAGGAAGCCCAGGTGTTCAGTAGAGTGCTAGGTGGGGAATTGGCAGGATTCCATCTTGGGCATGTATGTCTGGGGTATATGACATGCATGGTGGGGTTCGTGGCCTTCAGAGCCAGCCAGCATGTATTTGTAAGATGGCCACAGGTAGTAGGGTACAGATAGTAGACTCCTCCCTACTGGAGCTTCAAGAGGACCCCGGTGTGCCTGCTGAGGGCATGCCACTGGGGTGTGGTCAGACACTGACAGGCAGGGTGGCAGGCCGTGCTGAGAGCAGGCGCCTGAGCCACTCGGATGGTCTTGGAAGGGTGGGCAGGAGGGGATTGGGACTCAGGCAGTCACTCTGTGAATGACTACAAGGCCCACGTGTCTCTTTCTGTTTTGATGCAGGTGGCTATTATCATGGAAAGTTAATTTTCCCCCGAGAGTTTCCTTTTAAGCCTCCTAGTATTTACATGATAACCCCCAATGGAAGATTTAAGTGCAACACGAGGTAAGCTTCTGGGGCTGCTGCCCTTGGAGTGTTGGGGGGGTGTGTTCCTGCTCACGAGCCCTTGTCTTACAGGCTGTGTCTCTCCATCACGGATTTCCACCCAGACACCTGGAACCCAGCCTGGTCTGTCTCCACCATTCTCACGGGGCTCCTGAGCTTCATGGTGGAGAAGGGTCCCACTCTGGGCAGCATAGAGACTTCGGACTTCACGGTGAGTTGGGTCCGAGTCTCCTGACACCATGGCCCTCCTTTTCTCCTGGGGTGACTGCTGCCCCTCGGGGTGAGGCTGCCCAGGGTCCCCAGGGCCCCTCTTCTTGGTCACTTGTGGAGACTGCTTTGTTCCAGGGGCCCGTAATGAAGCCCCTTGGTCTACTGTCTGCCTCTCCCTCCGTCTAACTAAGCCTCACATCCCTTGGCTTCTTTTGAGGAGATTCTGAGAGGTTCGGGATGGGGGACACATCTGCCTTACCTTTTTCAAAAAAGGGCGGAGGTGTCGCTGTGACTAGTGCTGCTCTGGTAGGGTTGGGGACGGGGCTTTGGGGTTTACCAGGGATTTTGCTAATTCGCTGTGTTTTTGTTGCTGGTTATTTTTTTTGGAGCATGGTTCAAACTAGAAGGGAACACCTTACCAGTTTGGCTTTTACTTCTGCATTCCATCCATTCCCTTTACTTCTTTCCCTTCCTCCTTCTCTCCCTCCCTCCCTCCTTCCATCTCTTCCTCTTTCCTCCCTCCCTTCCTTACTCTGTGTGTGTGTGTGTGTGTGTGCACGCGCGTGTGCATGCGTGTGCATTGCCAGTACTAGGGCTTGAACTCCAGACCTTTTGCTCTCAGTTTTTTTGCTCATAGGTGGTACTCTGCCACCTGAGCCACAGCTCCACTTGTAACTTTTTGTTGGTGGATTGGAAATGGATCTCCTGGATTTGCCTGTCCAGCCTGGCTTTGAGTGGGTATTCTCAGATCTCAACCCTGGTAGCAAGGATTACAGGGGGGCCATCAGGGAAGAGCCAGGGCGCTGCCGCAGGTCGCGCATCCGCACACCTGCTGCCCCAGAGCCCGGGCACTGCCGCAGGTCGCGCACCTGCACACCTGCTGCCCCAGAGCCAGGGCGCTGCCGCAGGTCGCGTACCTGCACACCTGCTGCCCCAGAGCCAGGGCGCTGCTGCAGGTCGCGCATCCGCACACCTGCTGCTCCAGAGCCCGTGCGCTGCCGCAGGTCGCACACCTGCACACCTGCTGCCCCAGAGCCAGGGCGCTGCCGCAGGTCGCACACCTGCACACCTGCTGCCCCAGAGCCCGGGCGCTGCCGCAGGTCGCACACCTGCACACCTGCTGCCCCAGAGCCAGGGCGCTGCCGCAGGTCGCACACCTGCACACCTGCTGCCCCAGAGCCAGGGCGCTGCCGCAGGTCGCGCACCTGCACACCTGCTGCTCCAGAGCCAGGGCGCTGCCGCAGGTCGCGCACCTGCACACCTGCTGCCCCAGAGCCAGGGCGCTGCCGCAGGTCGCGTACCTGCACACCTGCTGCCCCAGAGCCCGGGCACTGCCGCAGGTCGCGCACCTGCACACCTGCTGCTCCAGAGCCCGGGCGCTGCCGCAGGTCGCGCACCTGCACACCTGCTGCCCCAGAGCCAGGGCGCTGCTGCAGGTCGCACACCTGCACACCTGCTGCTCCAGAGCCAGGGCGCTGCCGCAGGTCGCGCATCCGCACACCTGCTGCTCCAGAGCCAGGGCGCTGCCGCAGGTCGCGCACCCGCACACCTGCTGTCCCAGAGCCAGGGCGCTGCTGCAGGTCGCACACCTGCACACCTGCTGCCCCAGAGCCAGGGCGCTGCCGCAGGTCGCACACCTGCACACCTGCTGCTCCAGAGCCAGGGCGCTGCCGCAGGTCGCGCATCCGCACACCTGCTGCCCCAGAGTTTCTTGTCCTTCAGGTGGGGCTTCCACGTTTCTCCCAACAGGTTTTCGTTCAGTACACGTCTCCACCTTGAACTGCCTTGAGCTATTGCTTCTTGCCTGCCTGCTGTTCTGGCAGGGTGTTTCAGAGAAGTCCGTGGGGACACAGTGGGAGCCTCGCTGAATACTGGAGTAGAATGTGTGGCGCCTGGTCTGAGAGGCAAGGAGGTATTGAAGGGCTGGAGTCCCCTGCAGGCACCGTCTGTACCAGACCCCTGCAGAGCAGAGGCGATGCCGTCTGAGAAGTTCACAAGAGGCTCTGACTGTGGCAGGCTCCCCTTGCGTGTCGGACGTGACTGCTCGAATGGGAAGGACCCCTTCTCCACCCACCCCCCCGTCCCCACCAGTGTTGCCCTAGCCAGACGTGCACTATCCAGGGGAAGTAGGTTGGTCTGCTGAAAAATGTTAGTAAGTCCGATCTTTCAGTAAGGACAACGTGTTCTAACCTGAGAGGAGGCTTTTGGGTCTTACCGGGGAGTGAGTCACCCTGATAGAGACCCACAGTTATTTCCAGTTCTGAGCTTAGTGCTGCTGAAGGTCTTGATAGGAAAAGGGTGGGACTCCTCCAGGGTTGCCGTGAGGACCGTCAGCATGTAGACTTTTGGAGCCGTGGGTTGGTAAAAGAACTTACCAAGCCAATTGCTGGTGGCTTTTATCTGTAATCGGAGGATCACACTTTGAAGCCAGTCCAGGTAGATAATCCTAGAGACTGTTGGTCTCCAATAGCAGAAATCATTAGTAGAGGTATAGCTCAAGCAGTGGTGTCAGCCTTAAGTGAAAAAGCAAGAGAGAGAACAAGGCATTGAGTTCAAGACTCACTTCCAGCACACTTACGCTTAAAGAATGCACTAAGCCTGGCGCTGGTGGCTCACATCTGTAATCCTAGCTACTCAGGAGGCTGAGATCTGAGGATTGTGGTTCAAAGCCAGCCCAGGCAGGAAACTGTAAGACTCCAGTAAACTACTCAAAAAAGAGAGACAGAGGGGCTGGGAAGGTGGCTCAGTGGTAAAGTGCTTACCTTGCATGCCTGAGGCCCTGGGTTCGATTCCTCAGCACCACATAAGCAAAAGGAAAAAAGCTGGAAGTGGCACTGTGGCTCAAGTGGTGGAGCGCTAGCCTTGAGCTGAAGAGCTGAGGGACAGCGCCCAGGCCCAGAGTTCAGGCCCCACGACCGGACCCCCAAAAAAAGAGAGAAAGAGAGCCAGAGAACCAAGCTGGGCACTGGTGACTCATGCCTTTAATCCTAGCTGCTTAGGAGGCTGAGATCTTAAGATCACAGTTCAAAGCCAGCCAGTCAGGAAACACTATGTTGAAAATGAACTTTACAACTTCGGTGGGGGGGAGGGAGGGAAGAAAGGGAGGGAAGGGATGGTAGGGTTTTTAAAAACAATGCTCAATAGGAAATGTACTCATTACCTTACTCATGTAACTGTAACCCCTCTGTACAGTATTTTTACAATAAAAAATGTACACACAAAAAAAATCTGGAAGTGAAGCTATGGTTCAAAGTGGTAGATAGCCTTGTGCAAAAAAGCTCAGGGACAGCATCCAGGCCTTAAGTTCAAGCCCTAGGACCAGCACACACACAAAACCAGAGTGTACTGAGTTAGGAGAAACATTTATTTGGATGCCACTAAAGGAAAGTGATGTAGCTAGACAGAAAAGGGCATATAGCACTGCCACTCCCCCAGTGAGTTGTTAGGCCATTTTATCTGACATTTTCTGTGCATGTGTGCTGGTCTTGGGGTTGAACTTGGGGCCTGGGTGCTGTCACTTTTTTTGCTCAAGACTACTAGCATTTTTTTTTTTCTGTTCTGGGGCTTGAACTTGGAGTTTGATCTTGGGGCTTGAACTCGGGGCTTGGGCACTGTCCCTGAGCTGCTTTTTCTCAAAGCTTGTGTTCTACCACTTTGAGCCACAGTGCCACTCCCGGTTTTCAGGTGGTTAATTGGAGATAAGAGTCTCATAGACTTTCCTGCCCAGGCTGGCTTTGAACCATGATCTTCAGATCTCAGCCTCCTGAGTAAGATTACAGGCATGAGCCACTGGCGCCTAGTTAGAAATCAAGTTTAATGTTCTTGATTGTTAATGAAAAGATAAGGCTTCATGAGACAGTGTGAAGAGCAAGAGCTTTAATACAGTAGGAAAGCAGCAGTGCTTTGCTCTACAGTATTCTGTTGAATTAGCTTTCTATCTAATGGGGTTTGGGAGATAGACTGTTGGTGCATGGGACCATGGGAAAGAATTGGGCCTTTGGGGGGTAGAGGAGGTGAATGGGGACCATGGGAAAGAATTGGGCCATTGGGGGATAGAGGGGGTAGAATACTGTCAAAGTAGAGCATGTGCAGCTGTGAAGCTTGCTGGAGGGTGTGATGTGTTGTGGAAGGGTGGGGACAGAGAATGGGATAGGGGCTGAGGTGATTGAAATAGTGTAAATGTGTGGCACTCACGCTGAACCCCTTCCCGGGACACCAGCTGTAAGCTAATGAAAAAGCGCTCTGAAAAGCACGGAAACGGTAATGGGAAAGACAAAATTTATTCTTCAGAAGTAGATGGCTTACCCCATCAAAGTGAAACATTTGGAAACGAAGCCACCGTGGAGTGTCAGCTCAGATGAGCTTCATTCAGATATACCACAAGGTCATGTAAGCCAACAGCTCCCCAGTCACGAGCAGGTCCCAGGGACCGGCCAGACAACAGAGGTGAAGGACAGCGAGAACGAGAGCGAGGACAAGAAATCCGCAGCTTCCAGCCCTCTTCCTCACAGCAGGGTGTGTGCGGGGTTTGGGCCAGTCAAAGCCTAAGCCTGTGGGACCTGCTGAACAGCGTGCCCCCGTAGAAAGCTGTGACGGGACTGTTTGTGAACTCTTGCAAATGACAGAGCCCGGGAAGGTTTCAGACCACATACAGTGGTTTAATAAGCTGTCTTTAAATGAGCCGAATAGAACAAAAGTGAAGTCACCTCTGAAGTGTCAGCGTACACCTGTCCGCCAGTCTGTTCGAAGAATTAATTCTCTGTTAGAATACAGCAGACAGCCTGGTAGGCAGAAGCTGGTCATCATCCCTTGGGCTGCAGCTTCGCCCCTGGTCGAGTCTGTGAGCTGTGACAGTGCCCTTCCCTGCCACACGGGGGGGGGGGGCGTCAGCAGAGTTCTCTGCTTCAGATACTCGCTCAGCTCCTCAGGACCCCAGGGCCTCATCGTGTGAATGGTCGGGTATTGACGGAATTCAAAGTCGAGCACGGGGCTACAGAGTCTGTGAATGCTTCTCTTCAGCCTAGAGTCTTTAAACAGGAAGTTGTATCTGAAGGCCAAATTAAGATTCCCTTGGATGATCTGATTAATCATGATATTTTAAGATGTGTTGTAAATAACGAGGGCTTTCCTCCTGGGATAAAAACAAGGGTCCTTCGGAAACCCTCGGAAAGAGAAAGGGTCTGGTACAAAGGATCTCCAAAACATCCTATTGGAAAGGCTCAGCTGTTACCAACAAGTAGACCTGTGGACTTGTGACTGGCACGTGTACCTGTCGTCAGTGTAAATAAAATTAGTGACTTGCAGGGCAGTGGACATGTTAGTTTGTAGCTCAGGGTGACTATGTAGTAAATTTTCCCTGAAACTTAATTTTTACCACAGGAACACTTTGAAATTCCATATTTGTGCATATGACTTTTTTCTTAATGATGGCAGTCTTTTAAACTTAGTTTTCCTGCAGTCTCTTAAAGCGGAGGTTACCCTTTACTCTCTTCAACAGTTCACTGTCTCGATTTACAAAAACAAAAGCAGCAAAAAAAAGAAAAAGCACTCTGACCCTTCTCTTCTCTTTCTTCATAGAAAAGACAGCTGGCAGCACAAAGTCTAGCGTTCAATTTAAAAGATAAAGTCTTTTGTGAATTATTTCCTGAAGTTGTGGAGGTAAGACGGCAAAGTCTTCCTTTCTATCTTTCTTTTTTTTTTTTGTCAGTTGTGGGTCTTGAACTCTGGGCTTGGGCGCTGTCCCTCAGCTCTTCAGCTCAAGTGAGCGCTCTACCACTTGAGCCACAGCGCCACTTCTGTTTTTCTGGTGATTTATTGGAGATAAGAGTCTCACAGCCTTTCCTGCCTGGGCTGGCTTTGAACCGCAATCCTCAGATCTCAGCTGCCTGACTAATTAGGATTACAGGCGTGAGCCACCGGTGCCTGGCAAAAAGTCTTCCTTTCTGTTGAAAGCTTTCAGATTCCATTCTTTCCAGGACTCCAGGCCCTTGTGGGAGCTACAGTCTGCGGGGTATTTGTACTGGCCAGGCCTACGGGTACACACTCTTGCAGACTGGATCCTCTTCCAGGATCCCCGGTGCTGCACAGGCAGCCTTGAGGACAGCGTGTGTGGCGTTGGGTGCTGGGCCTGGCCCTGGGGTATGGAGCTCCCGCCCAGGTGGGCTCTGGGGCAGTGCCGTGGGCCAGCAGTGGTTGGGACCGCGTCAGCTGCAGGTCCTCGAGCTGAGAGCGCTGTGTGCGTGAGGCGGGGCACGGGCTCACGGCTGTGCAGGCCTGGGTGGTTGGTTCAGTATTCCTCCCAGCTCAAAGACCCTGTTCTACCCCTTACCTATAAAAGGGGGTAATTACGGAGCTCTGCCTGTTTTGGGGGTGTGTGTCAGGACTTGGTGGAGGTGGTGGTAGTGGTGTCGGGGGTTGGAGATCTCCATTCTAGCTTCTGAAGGGACTTCATCGTTCATGTCAACTGAGCTTTCTTGTGTCTTTTCCTCCCCCTCCTTCCTCCCCAGGAAATTAAGCAAAAACAGAAAGCACAAGATGAACTCAGTAGCAGGCCCCAGAATCTCCCCTTGCCAGATGTGGTTCCTGATGGGGAGACACACCGCGGCCAGAATGGGATCCAGCTCCTCAATGGGCGCGCACCAGGGGCCGGCCCAAACCTGGCGGGGCTCCCGCAGGCCAACCGGCACCATGGACTCCTGGGCGGCGCCTTGGCGAACTTGTTTGTTATAGTAGGGTTTGCAGCCTTCGCCTACACGGTCAAATACGTGCTGAGGAGCATAGCACAAGAGTGAGGGCCGAGCCGGAAGGCCGGACACGCCGCCCAGCGCGAGCGCCCGCCAGACTTCACAGGCCACCGAGAGCGCCCGCCAGACTTCACAGGCCACCGAGAGCCCGCCCAGAGCGCCCGCCAGACTTCCAAGTTTCACTTTCTAGACACTAAAAAGAAAGCGAAAAACCAAAATGTGTGATTTGAAGGAGACGCAGAGTCCAGCCCCCTCTTCTCACCCGTGTCCTGTGGTGTGGTGTCTGCTGGCGCAGCCATGGCTGGGTCCCTCAGACTATGATTTTATAGCTTATCTCCTGTGTTGTCTTTGGACCTGTTTAGTAAACTTGTTTTTCATTTTATTAGATTTGGTCATTTAAAAATACAAACTCATTGCCTATCAAATTCTGTGTGTGTTCTTGGCAGGCCTGGCGGGGGTGGCCGGGCCGTGAACCTATCATCGGTGCCATCTTGGTGGGGCACAAGATGGCCCCCGAGAGGGGCCCAGGAGATCGGCCTCAGTCAGAGTGTGTGGTCGGAAGGACACAGCTTCCTTCTCGTTTTTACTGTTTTTGTTACGCTTTTGTGCCGAGGAGCTTGAGCCCCAATTTCTAGTTTTTAGCCATTGCTTGTCACTTGAGCCACACCTCTGGTCTGGTATTTTGTTAGTATATTGGAGATGGGGGTCTCACGGGCTCCAGGAGACTCCACAGCCCTCCAGGCTCAGCCGGGGTTACTGGTGGGAGGCCCCAGCGGCCCCAGGCTCGGCTGCCAGGATGGAGGGATCCGTGTGACCACGAGGTGTCGCCATTGGGTGGGAAGGGAGCGGCCCTGCCGGCGCCCTCAGCCTCACCCTAGACTGTCCCCTCTGGCTCCTCGGGTGCTGTGGGGCTGGAGGTCCCCGGGGGCCTCTTCTTGACTGCCTCATGCTCACATGTCCAGAGTCCTTGGGGCTGGTTCTGTACACCTTGCGGCTTCCCTGCCACGTGAAATGTGGGCACACTGACCTGTGTCACGTGACCTGTGGGAGGTGGCGGTTCTCGCCCACCTGAGAGGGCACGCGAGCCTCGTGTCAAGGCCCACAAGCCTGAACTCTGTCCCTGAGCCTCTCTACTCAAGGCCAATGCTCTACCGCTTGAGCCACGGACCCTTTCCTGGTGGCCAACCTCGGTTATCTGTCAGGCCTGCATCGCCTGCAGCTGGTGTTGCTGATAGTAGGGCCTGGGCCTGCGTCTTCCTGTTCAAGAGTGTGTGTTGCATGTGTGTTGTGGGTGTTGCTAAGGTATTTGTGTGTTGTGGGTGTTGAGGTATTTGTGTGTTGTGTGGGGTGTTGAGGTATTTGTATGTGGGGGGTTTTGAGGTATTCTTTGGGGGGGTGCTGAGGTATTTCTGTTGGGGTGTTGAGGTATTTGTGTGTTGTGTGGGTGTTGAGGTATTTGTGCTGTGGGGGTGCTGAGGTATTGTGGGGTGTTGAGGTATTTGTGTGTTGTGTGGGTGTTGCTGAGGTATTTGTGGGGGGTGCTGAGGTATTTGTTATGGGGTGCTGAGGTATTTGTGTATTGTAGGGTGTTGAAGTATTTGTGGGGGGTGTTGAGGTATTTGTGGGGGGTGTTGTATTTGTGTGTTGTAGGTGGTGAGGTGTTTGTTGTGGGTGTTGCTGAGGTATTTGGGGTGCTGAGGTATTTGTGTTGTGGGGGTGTTGTTATGTGTTGTGGGGTGTTGAGGTATTGGTGTGTTGTGTTGCTGAGGTATTTGTGTGTTTTGTGGGTGTTGCTGAGGTGTGTGCTGTGGGGTGTTGAGGTATTTGTGTGTTGTGGGGTGTTGAGGTATTTGTGTTGTGGGGTGTTGAGGTATTTGTGTTGTGGGGTGTTGAGGTATTTGTGGGGTGTTGAGGCATTTGTGTGTTGTGGGGTGTTGAGGTATTTGTGCTGTGGGATGTTGAGGTATTTGTGTGTTGTGGGGTGTTGAGGTATTTGTGTTGTGGGATGTTGAGGTATTTGTCTTATGGGGTGTTGAGGCATTTGTGTGTTGTGGGGTGTTGAGGTATTTGTGCTGTGGGGTGTTGAGGTATTTGTGTGTTGTGGGGTGTTGAGGTATTTGTGTTGTGGGGTGTTGAGGTATTTGTGCTGTGGGGTGTTGAGGTATTTGTG